AGTAGGTGTAACTCTGGTATTTTCATAAATACATTGACGTAAACCAAATGAATTTGAAATATTACAAAGGTGTGTCACTGTTTCAACATTACTACTGAAATCTAAATTAAATCGCCAAGTATCAATAAGTTTCTTATGTCTAGAATAAATACTATTCAGTAAACTATTGAAGGCATCAATAAATAATGAAGGATTCCTAAACAAGGAGACCATAAACAGTTATAATAGCAATATTGCCAATTGTTGCCCCACAAAATTCAGCATGGAATGGAACACAAACATTCTTTAAATCCAAGGGTTTAATTTTGCTGATATCATTCGTGCAAATATATAGCAACACCACCATGTATCTTGGAGGGCGACAGTAAAAGGATATAAGAGATATTGGTTTAGGTTTACCATTGCCAAATGATCATCACCAAGCCAATGTTCAGAAATGCATAATACATCTACAGGATTAGCAGTTAACCACAAATTGAGATCATCAATCTTGCTTGGCAAGCCTGTACATTGATGTGAAGGGTTCGTAGGCATTGGGCGTTGTTGACCCGCTGAGGTGTTTGATCTCCTTCTAGAGCGAAAAAACCGGTTGATTATTACCCCATCCGGCCATATGTCGCTCTTTAGTATATTGTCCCGCTTCGGTAGCTAATAATGTCACCTTGAATGATTTGTAAACTTTCTGGATACCTGGCATTCAGCTCCTCGACCTGTACTGATGCAGCAAAGCCCTTCAGGTAATTGGCTAAAGCCTGCATTTCAGTCTTTGTATCCATTTTGTGACGTGGTACTGGTACTGACGGTTTTGTTGAGCTGAATTTGCTGCTTTCAGGGGGCATGCACTATCACTGGTCAATTTGCCGACTAGTAAGTTTCAGAACGCCTCCTCCTCTCAGATTTACTTTGAGAGTTAAGTGTACTTTGCGTATTAGTACGCTGCCTGTCGCACTTCATTTGACAATTGGCTGTTCCCAATCACTTGGGTGTCACTCAACATTTTAGGTGTGTGGTCTCCTTATTTTCATCTTGTGTTTAGATCGCTGGCGCTCGAACAGCTGGTTATTTTTTTGCTACCGTCGCTGAACTGGAGGAATGTGCGTAACTACTCGTAGTATGCGATTTAAATTCAGTAGTTTTCCCCTGCTTTAGGTAGCGTATCTGCTCTTGCAGCGATTCAACCAGTAATGACTGGTACCGTATCGTTCGTCCTTCTGTTTAATTAGTTCTTCAAGATAGCATACCTTGGTTTTTTCTCCTGATTCAGGGTACCCTGCAGCACCACTCTCTGCTCTAGGACCAATATTTGCCTCAGCGCAGCAGATAACAAAATCGTCGTTGGTGTATTTGACGTCTCTCATCTGCTTAATGCAACCCTTGTGAGCTACAACGGCCACATTTGCTGCAGGAAATTCCTGTTGGCGCTATTTTCCTACAGCGTTTGCAGGTTAGGTTACTGTCCTTGGTTGGTCAGATGGCTTTCAGACATGGTATGCACGTACAGATTCCAATACTAACAATTACAGGGCACTAGTACACGTTTATGAGACGAATGCACAAATCCACAGAAATTAATTAACTCAAAAAAACACTAAACAATTCACTCTGATGTAGGATATACGAATATATGAAAATAATAATAATAATTATAATTATAATAATACTTATTATTATTATTACTATCATTATAATAATAATAATAACAATACTAATAATAATATAATAATAATAACAATATAAGAATTATAATGATAAAATTAGAATAATTATAATAATTACAATAATATAATAATAATAGTAATAATCATAATTACAATAATTATAATAATAATAATCATAATAATAATAATAATCATAATAATAATTATAATAATAATAATATAAAAACATAATAATATAATAAATTATAATAATAAAATTAATAATAATAATAATAATAATACTAATAATAATAATAATATAATAATAATAATTATAATATAATAATAATAATAATGCTAATTACAATAATTATAATAATATTAATAATTATAATAAGTATAATAATAATAATAATAATTATAATATAATATATATAATAATATAATATAATAATGATAAATATAATAATAGTAATAATTATAAACTAATATAATAATAATTATAATAATAATATTACAATAATTATAATAATAATAATAATCACGATAATAATAATAATAATAATTATGATAATAATATAATTACAAAATACTATACTTAATAATAATAATATAATAATAATTATAATAATAATAATAATAATATAATAATAATAAATAATTACAATACTGTAATAATAATAATAATAAATTATAATAATAATATAATCATATTAACAATAATTATTAATAATAATAATAATAATATAATAATAAGAATTATTATAATAACAACAATAATAAATATAATAGAGAAATAGAGTTAGGACCCATACAGATAAAAAGAGGTATATATCAAGGTGATACCTTGTCACCTCTTCTGTTTGTGATTGCGATGGTTCCTTTAAGTACGCTGCTCAACGAGGGCAACCTAGGTTACCACTAAAGGAGCAAATGATTGTCTCTCCCATTTGCTATATATGGATGACCTGAAGCTCATATCTCCAGCCAAAGCAAACTGAAAACGTCTCTCAATATTGTAAAAAAAATTTTAGCGACGACAGACAGATGAGCTTCGGTCTCGATAAGTGCGCTGTAGTCACTTTCAGGAGAGGAATGCATTATGACTCTGCTAATATATAGTTGATGAAGGACAGACGATCAAATCACTAGAACATGGCGGAGTGTACAAGTACCTGGGAATTAAAGAAGGCCCACACATCACCCACGATTCACTGAAAGTTGATATTAGACATGAGTATATAACGAGAGTACGTAAATTCTGCAAACTCAACTCACGTCTAGAAACAGATAACAGCAATTGGAGCTCTTGCCATACCAATCATGCAGTACAGCTTTGGTATAATCAATTGGACATTGGATGACATAAGACAAATGGATCGCAAACAAGAAAACTAATGACAACACATAACATCCTTCATCCCAAAGCAGACATCGACAGATTATACGTGCCACGAAAGAAAGGGGGACGAGGACTAAAGCAAATAGAAGAAACGTACAACAATACTATCTTCTCAGTAGGGCAGTATATTCAAACCAGATCTGAGCAAGACCGCCTACTACAGATGTTACTAGCACATGACAATAGAAAACCACAAATAGATCTATTGTAAAGCGTAGTAATAAGATCAAATTAGAAGCTGCGGAAGCCGGACATACGGTCGAGCGAGGTAACAGGTCCATCAAACTGTACTTGAAGCAATGTGTCGAAGAGAAATGGCGGAGTAAGCCTCTACACGGACAGCATATCCGTCAAAATGGAGAGCTTCCGGTTGACTTAAGACTGTCATTTGGATGGTTACAATACGGAGATTTAAAAGGGGAAACCGAAAGCTTCTGGTGGCAAGCACAGACCAAGCCTTGAAAACGCGTTACATTGAGCAAGCAATACACAAGACGAGGAATGACGGTAAATGCAGATTGTGTCACATCACAATTAAACGGTTGAACATATAATATCTGCATGTCCAATACTAGCGCCAAAAGAATATACTGACAGGCACAATAAATGTCTGCGCAGCCATCCATCTAGAAGTGTCTCGCCACCTTGGTTGTCCAATAAAATCGACGAAATGGTATGAGCATCACCCCCGACAGAATAACACGAAGTGAAGATGGTAGTATCACATAATGTATGACCATCCCGTTATCACGGATAGAGAAATAAAAGCAAACAGACCAGATATTGTTATAAAAACCACCGAAATATGCTATATAATTGATATATCGGTACCTGCAGATAGACATGTCATACAAAAGGAGGCTGAAAAGCAACTAAAATACAAATCATTACTCATAGAAGTGCAAAGAAGTGGGCATACAAAGGCAGTTGTTATTCCCGTAGTGATTGGTGCAACTGGATATGTCACTCGCAACATCCTAGATAACCTAAAAAGGATACCAGGAGATCATAATTTCTATCAGTTACAGAAGATCGCCTTATTAGGCACATCGCACATAATTAGGAAAGTTATAACATAACCAGCTCATAAACTACAAAGATCTGTATCCCCTCAGGTCCTCGGCGAGGACCCGGTGTAGAGGTCAAACCGTTCCATATAAGATACCGCTACTAATAGAAAAACGGTCCTGTAGCGTGAAAAAAAAAAGAGAATAATATTAATAATTATAATAATGATAATTATATAATAATAGTAATAATAATAATTATATAATAATAGTAATAATAATAATTATAATAATAGTAATATTACAATAATTATAATAACAATAATAATAATAATAATTATAATAATAATAACATAATAATTATAATAATAATAATAATAGTAATAATCATAATAATATTATAATAATAATAACAATAATTATAATAATAATAATAATAATAATAATAATTACAATACATATAATAATAATAATTATAATAATTATAATAATAATAATAATCACTTATATATAATACTTAGGCCATCTACAAGCGCCGGGCATAGACCAGCAAGCTGCAAAAGAAAAGGCGATGGAGCACTATAGAACACGTTGAGGGCGGTGCTGAAAACAAGTCTGTCAGCTCGTAATACAGCACTTGCTGTCAGCACCTACGCTACTTCGGTCCTTACCTACACGTTGGCATACTGAACTGGACGGATACAGAACTGAACGCACTTAATGTGGAAACCAGAAAAGAATTCCGTAACACCGGGGACACCACCCACATAGTTCCATAGAGCGGTTCCATCTACCACGAAGTGAGGGTGGCAGAGGAATACCTTGCATACCTACACTACATCACCGCCAAGTGGACAATCTACGCCAGTACTTCCTCCAAAAAGCCACATCCAGCAGAATGCATCAAGCAATAAACACAGACGGATAAAAAGTTGACACCACTAAACCTTTCAGAAAAATCTTCGACCATGAGGCAAAGATAACCCCAATGCAGGATCTGGTTCGCCAATGGAAAGCCAAACCACTACATGGTCGGTATAGGAGCCGCATAGAAGACAACGCCATTGACACGAAGGCTTCCCAAGGATGGTTGCAGTCAGGTAATCTGTTCCTGGAGACGGAGGGCTTCATAGCCTCCATCCAGGATCAGGTAGTCCCAACAAAGTTGTACCGAAAGCGTATAATGCATGAGAACGTTGACGATATCAGATGGCGCATATGTGGGGAAAAAGATGAGCACATAGATCATATGTAGCAGGCTGCTCTCCCTTAGCTCCTAAACAATATCTTGAAAAGGCACAATGATGTGGCCAAAATACTTTATCAAGCCTTTGGCTAAAAAGCATCTAGGAGAAACTGGTACACAGCCCTACTATAAATACACGCCGCCACCATGTGATAGAAACGGAGACCTCTAGGCTGTACTGGAACCGTAAAATCATAACTGACAGGCCCATCCCCAACAATATTCCTGACATAGTGCTCAACTAAAAGAAGAAAGAACGACGTTTATAATAGACATAGCTGTGCATCTTCCTACTAATATCCAAACACACCCATGGGTGAAAAAGACCGCTGCAGATCTATTTCCTTACTTTGGCTAACCGCCTGAGGGAAATATTAATACCTTCGACAGAGGAGTAAAATAGTATAAATAATAATAATAATTAAATAATAATAATAATAATAATAAAAAGATAAAAAAATAAAAAAAAAATAAAAATAATAATTAAAATAATAAATAATAATATAATAATAAGAATAATAATAGATATGATAATAATAAAAATATAATATAAAATAATAATAATATAAACAATAATAATAATTACAATAATTATAATAAATAATAAAATAAATAATAATCGTAATAATAATATTATATAATAATAATAATATAATATAAAATTAAATAACAGAATAATTTCATAATAATTACAATAACTAAATAATAATAAAAAACATTAATTACAATAATAATAAAATAATGATAATAATAATAGTTATATTAATAATAATAATAATTATTATTATTACAATAATATAATTATTATAATAATAATAATAATAATAATAATTATTATTATAATAGTAATAATTATAAGAATTAAGAATCATAATAATAATAAAATACATAATTACATAATTATAATACTATAATAATAATGATAATAAAAATAGTATAGTGCTGATAATAATAATAATAATAATAATATTATAACAATAAGAATATTATAATAATGATTAAAATTACAATAATTATAATTATAATATAATAATAATCGTAATAAATAATATATAATAATCTAGACAATAATTATAATAATAATAATGATAGTAATAGATTATAATAATACTATCATTAATATAATTATAATATTATAATAATTCATAATAATAATAATAATAATACAATCATTAAAAAAATAATAATAATTACAATAAAATAATAAATAATATAATAATAACTAATAATATAATTATAATAATAATAAATAATAATAATAATTATATAATAATAATACTAATTATAATAACAATAATTATAATAATATATTAATAATTAATAATAATAATAAGAATAATCATAATAATAATTACGATACCATACGATGTATTGACAACCTATACATATAGATACATGTTTGAAGTCACAACTAGATAAAGTTTATACAGAGTCTGTCTTCTTGCTCTACACACGATCACTGATCACTAGGATCACATGCACTTAAATATTCACTTACAGTAATTAAGTATTCGCTTACAGTATAGACGCAGTTTTGTAACAATAGTTTTTGACAAACCTAGAGAACTGTTTGTTAGACATCTTCTCAATATTAGACCGCTTATGATATCTAACAAAGTTATTGTAAAGCGACACATTAATCTTGTTGTTTTGGTGGCATGGCGATCCTAGATTGCGGTAATGATATATCATTAGCGTATCTTGTATTATAGCTGTGTGTCTCTGATCTTATCGAAAAGTACTCAGGTTTGCGTGAACATGTAAAAGGGTCTCATGTATGAGCAGGCATGCTAACGGCAGTATGCGCATCTCTTTGAACAAACCACGGCACGTGTGATCGTAGGAGACGCCAGCTAAAATCCGTATAGCAGCCCTTTTGCATATAAATGCTTTTTGGGCCTTGACAGAATTACCCCAGAGGATGATACCATAGGTCAGATGACTATGAATGATCTAAAGTATACAGTTCTCATGGTTTGTCGTGCAAACACTGAGCCAGTTGCCTCATGATAAACATTTGTCGGGAAATCTTGGTACCACCTGGTCCACATGCTCCGACCAGGTCAAGCGGCTATCCACAACGATCCCTAATAACTTTACGGATGATGACGTCTCATTCCATTTGTCTGATGTTATTCTTAGCTTACTGGTTTTCGCTTCATTGAGTTTGAGCTTGTTTGCGAGAACCACCGCTTTAAACGTGGTCGAGACTGGTGGGCCTCGTCAAGTTGGGTAGCCTTGGAGAGCAGAGTAGTGTCCGTCTGCAAAAAGGTAGCATTTGCTATTGTTGACATTTTGTGGTAGGTCATTGATGTATATTAAAAATAATAGAGGGCCCAAGACAGAGCCCTGGGGTACCCCGTTCGTAATCGGTAGAACCTGGGATTCTACCCCATCAGGCTACCATCTGTCTCCTATTTACTAGTATGATCTCATAAGCTGTGATGACTTGCCACGGATCCCATAGTACTCCAATTTGTCAAGCAGTATAACTGTGTCTACACAGTCAAAGCCTTGGTTAAGTCACACATAGTTGCTAGAGCGGTGGTTCTCTGGTCAATGCACTCTAAAGCATCCTCAAGAAAACTAAGCATGGCTTTTATGGTTGAACAGTGCTTCCGAAAACCAAATTGTGAAGCTGAAAGGAGGGAGTGCTTTTCAAAGTACTTTATTAATTTTTCTTTGACTACAATTTCGAATAATTTACTTATTAATGGAATTATTGTGATGGGCCTATAGTTATCAAGATTATCTTCATTCCCTTTCTTATGAATGGGAATGACCTTTGACAATTTGAAAGCATCAGGCCACACGCCTTCATTAACACACTTATTAAATAGTATTGTTAAAGGTTCAATGAAATGCTCACTGGCTATTTTCATCATAGCACTGTTCATACCATAGAAGTCGAGTGAGGGTGAGTTTTTTAGTTGAGCTATAGCACATCTCACATCTGTTTGGAGTATCGCAGACATGAAGAACGAATGCGGTGTCTTGGGAGTACGGTTGAGGAGATACAAGTAATTAATAGTAGGCTTTTCAATGCCCTCAAGAATTTTACAAGAAATAGTACTGAAAAACTATTGAATTCATCACTTGAGAGATTTGTGTGTTTCTGTTTCCGAATGCCTCTCTCGCTATCGACTATCTTCCAGATTGTTTTAGTTTTATTTTCCGCCTGGTGTATCATTTCAGAGTAAAAGTTCCTTTTTTCCAATTTCAATTTTTGACGGTATATTCTACGTAATCCTTATACCTCTCCCAATCACGCTCATCCCCACTATGCGAAAACTGGCTCTTTGCGATCACCATATCTTTCCTTAGCTGCTTCGGTGTTTGCGTATACCACTTAACTTTGTGAGCTGACTTATCCACAGCTTTTAACGGAAAACAATTATCGATACAGTTTGATATTAAACGGTAGATGCTATTTGCCATGTTATCTGCAGAGTTAGAATCTACATTCATGTCGGACGCCATACTATGGATTCTGTTGGCAAATGAAACCATTCTTTTTTTGTAATAATGCGTCTTTTGGGCGGTTTGATTGAATGAATCTCATCTTGTAATATAAAAAAATCGCAAAAAATTCCTAAGTGGTCAGAAATATTCAAATCAATCGTACCTGTCACTATATTACCATTGCCCAGGTTAGTTAATATGTTGTCCAAGGAAGAAGCCGATGTAGGTGTAATTCTGGTATTTTCATTAATATAATGGCTCAAGCCAAATGTAATAAGAATATCGCGGAGGTACTTTACTGCCTCAACGTTACTATTAAAATCTAGATTAAAATCACCTAGAATTAACAGATTTTTGTATTTTGGATAAATATTATCTAGTAGGCTATGAAAAGCGGTCGTTAAATAATGAAAGATTACCTGCACTGGATGATCTGTAAACGGTTTTAATGGCAATGTTGTGTATTGTTGCCCCACAAAACTCTGCATGGAAAGGAATACAAAAGTCATTTACATTCAAAGTCTTCATGTGCTGATTAAATCGGGAAAAAATTGCTACACCTCCATGCGACTTTGGGGGGCGACAAAAACATGATACAAGATCATAATGATTGATATTTACCAACGACAAATGCTCATCACTAAGCCAGTGTTCAGACACGCATAAGACATCTACAGATTTGTCACTCAGCCACAAATTTAAATCGTCAATCTTGCTTGGTAGGCCCTGTACGTTGATATGCAGAGTTCGCAGGCTTTTGCTGTCCCATTGAAGTAGCTGATCTTCTTGATGGAAAAAACCGATTGATGATTACCCCATCCGGCCAAATGTCGCTCTTGAGGATACTGTCGGCCTCGGTAGCAATGTCACCTTGAAGGACTTGTAGCTCTCCGGGTATTTGGCATTCAGCTGTTCGACCCGTACTGACGGTGCAAAGCCCTTCAGGTAATCGGCTAATATCTGTACTTCAGTGTTTACATCCAACTTTGTAACATGGTATTGCCGGTATTGCTGTGCTGGATGCGCTGCTTTCAAAGGGCACTCACCATCGCTAGCCATTTTACCGACTAATAAATTTGCAGATTTATGCCTCCTCACCCCTCTAGAATCAAGTTTACTGTGTGAGTTAGTATTCGCCTCACACACCGAATCCGTCAAGCTGATATTCGGAATCACCTGGGAGCCACTCGTTGTTTTAGGTGTGTGGTCCCCTTTACTTCTATCACTATGTTGAGATCGCTCGCGCTCGATCAGCTGGTTACTTTTTGCTGCCGGTGCTGAACTGGAGGAATGTGCGTAACTGGTAGCAGTACGCGATTTAAATTCGGCTGTTTTTTCCTGTTTCAGGTAGCATATCTGCTCTTGCAGCGATTCAATTAACATTGCCTGGTA